TCGGAAAGTCTATTCTACATAATTATCAAATATTTTAACCCATGTTCAATATAATTACGATTTAGGAACTGAAGAACGAAATAACTATTTTAGTAAAAATATAAATTGAGGAGTAATTATCTTCTTAATTATTAATCATCGAATAAAACAGTTCTACAATAGTACAATAGACCTCAGTACAATTCTACAATACTATCTCAGTTGTACAATAATTTAAATTGTGATTAAATCGATTTTATTTCCTAAAATTATTTATGTTGCGGTTAATAAAAATATTTTCATCATTCCTCAAATTTTAACGAATTATTGTGATTTACAGACATTTATCGAATATAAAATTCGTATGTTTAAGTTTTTAACTAGTTAAGTGTGTTTGACGACTATGTCTGTTATGGAGATGTGGCAGAATTTTGTGTCATGACGACTATATCCGTCATTCGTAAAATTTTGTTACAATTTGATATTTAAATTGTAATTTTGGCGAAAACTAAATTATATTCGTAAGTTGTAATATGTTTAAAATGTTTAGAGGTCAACACGAAATAAAATAAACAAATAAAAAGTGTAAATGATTTGAGATGGATTCATAAATTCTTGAGAGCTGATTCGTCGTCGCTTGATTATCGCGACACACACTGGTGCGCTCTTTGCAAAAAGATCGTCACAGTTAACTGATTAATAAGTTAACAAGTTTTCGTTAAGTTTTAATCCATTTTGAAGAGAAGGTACGAATACTTTTTAATACTATCGTATGCTTTAATTTGTAAGGCTTCTATAGATTCCACGATACAATGTTGTATCATGTTCACATGATGAATGTTTTAAAGAGAATGTTGGAAAGGGGAAGTTGAATAAAAGATATCGTTTTACTGGTTATAAATTTTTCCGTATTTATCGTTTATATTAATCCGTTGAGTATTAGCTCGCAATCCATCAATGGATCAGGAAATCTGTGCAATAAAACCTTGATAAATGAAGTATAGTAAACAAAATAGACATTTTTCAAGATTATATTGATAGATAACTAGATTTAGTCGTGACTTATAGGAAAGTCCTTGCAGTTACAGAGAACACTTCTTTTACCTTTTTTGTAAAACTACTGTTTACTTTTCTTATTTATCACACCGTTAATCACGTCTATATCGTTGATCTTCGAATTGTCTATTTATCTTCAGTGTTATTCTTTTTGCTTTATCGTGGGTAAAGTAAGATACATGTTTCTGAATTTTTAATTAAGGAACTATGAAAATATCGATTCTTCTCGTTAATATTTAATAAATTAATATAATGAAATATTTAATATATTATGAAACTTTATTTTTAATTTTTCCATACAATTTGTGTAACATATTGTGACATTGTGAAAAATATTCAAGATATTATTAAAACATTATTAAAATTAATTTTTAATATATAATACAATTAATGTAATATAATATTAAACATATTATTGAACTTAATTTTTAATATTTGATACAATTAATGTAACACAATATTAAGTATATTATTGAACATAATTTATAATAATTGATAATTTATAACAATTAATGTAACACAATATTAAGCATATTATCGAACATAATTTATAATAATTGATCATTTATAACAATTAATGTAACACAATATTAAGAATATTATCGAACTTAATTTATAATATTTAATACAATTAATGTAAAACAATATTAAGCTTATTATTAAACTGAATTTTTAATACTTCATACAATTAATACAAAATAATATTATACATATTGTTAACATTTATTTTTAGTATTTACAATTACTGTAACAAAATGTTAAACCTTGTTTTTAATACATAGCACAATACAAATTGTCAATTTAATTTATAAAAATTGGAAATACATTTTCCTAAACTGCATACAAGCTCTTTAAAGTTTGATATATAAAATAGCAATTTATGTTCTTAAGCGGAACGATTTTTATTTTTCATATGGAGGTTGTCGAAGTGCGTCTTTCGTTACTTATCTGTATTTTTTACGAAAGTAAAAGCAAAACACAAGATATCTCGTGACTCATCTGCAGTGTGTTAATATTTGGTTAATTACTTCGTAAAAAACACGAGTACGATATATTTTTAGGATACGAAGGTCGCGTATTTAGTTACTTTGTTCGTTGATTCAGTAATGATCATTTTAATTGCGTCATAATGTAAGCACATTACACAATACATATTTAAATATTTATGAAACGAGCAGTTTATAATAAACCTGCGACGACCCCATTTTTTACAGACAATTTACTTTACCACATTTGGTATATTTTTGCATTTAATACAAGTATAAAAAATATAACAAATTTATTTTTCGCAAGGTTAAAATTTTTTGTACGTTTTCAAATAATTCTTAAAAAAAGAAAATTCAATTGCCAATTAAATTACATGTAATTAAATTTAGTTTCTTTTTAATTTCTAATTAAATCATATTTAATATAATTCTATATTTTTGAACAACGCCTCAAAAGCTGTATAAAAATCTTATAAAGCGTATAAAATTTAAAAAAATTTGCATAAACTTTTGCAGTCTAATAAAGAAAGCAAAAATTCAACTGGTAATAAAAAATTACTTAAATACTGTATTCAAAATAATTCGAGTTCGAATTTAAATACATCGATATATTGGGACATAGCCAATTCAAATTCACAACACAAGAAAGTTGTTAAAAATATACAGTCGAAAATTGCCCATATTTCCTGTTGAAATGTGACGTAAAATTGTTTTGCTTGAAAATGACCAACATCGATCCGGCTTTTGTTTTTGGAGGTTCTTGCACATAGCAACGCGGTGCACCTCTATTTACTCGAAATCTAATATTAGATTAGAATCTAACAGCCTAGAGGAGAATTAAACGCTAGAATAGATTGCCGAATTATGTTTGTTCCTTCCTTATTCATGCTTGGTACATATAAACACTTATTAGTTGCTACTGCCTCGTGAATGTGCTCGTTATTTTCAATTAAAAGCCGCTAGAACATATTACTTTACGGGAGAGTGTTATGTATAGAGGTGTTTAAAATTTCATGGGGTTTTCATTTCGAAATTTTACGGTTTTTAGATATTGAAATTTTATGGTTTTTAGATATGGAAATTTTGTGGTTGTTAGATGTGAAAATTTTATGATTTTGTATATCGAAATTTTATGGTTCTTCAATTTCAAAATATAGTTCTTTCATTTTGGAATATTAGAGTTTTTAGACTATGAAATTTTATGCATTTGGACTTTCAAATTTTCTTGTTTTTGAACTTTAGGATTTTTACACTTTTTGAAATTTTTGAGATTTTGGTTCTTTAGATTTTTGGATTTTGGAATTTTTTAAATTTACAACTACAATTTTGAAGTGTTTAAATTTTAGGATTTTGGTGATTAATTTTGGAGTTTTGAGCCTTTGGGAGTTTGGGATCTTGGAATATTGACACTGAGATTTTGAAACTTCGCAAGTTTGGGATTTTAGAATTTTGAAATTTTAGTCTTTTCGAATTATTGGATTTCTAAATTTTTTTAATTTTAGGGTTTTAGTATTTTAATTCTTTAAAATTTTAGAATTTTTGAATTTTACGGTTTTAGTATTTTAGATTTAGAATTTTGGGACGTTCGAACTCTATCACTTTGAAATTATGGAATAACAGAGCTACAGAATTTTTGAATTTTTGGACCTTGGAAATCAGTTCGAAATTTTGAAATTTTTGAGTTAGTTAAGTAATTGGTAATTAATTAGTAATATTTCTGAAAATTTATGAGTTTTTTTATTTTCTAATTTTACACATTAGGATTACATTAATGAAGACTTTTAATATACAATTTAAAATTATAAAATAACGACACATATCAAAATGCTATTTGTTAAAAATTAGTACATGGAATAGTTCTACTTTTCTTTGGGCTCTTAACTATTTCTTGCATATCGTAGTCTTTTAACATACTTTTTCGAAATTGCAAAATAACGATTCATACAAAAATACAGTTAGTTAGAAGATAATATAGATTACCTTTAATCTTAGATCAACTCTAACTTTCTTTAAACTGTTATTTAGCTGTTATAAATTTGAATTACATCAATGAAGATTTTTAACATATTGTTTGAACTTCCAAGATAATTCATAAAAAAATACAATCTGTCAAAAAATAATCCAGAGAAAAAATCCTAATTTTTGTTGAACTTTTAACATATTGTTTGAATTTACAAGATAACTCGTACAAAAATACAATCTGTCAAAAAATAATCCAGAGAAAAAATCCTAATTTTTGTTGAACTTTTAACATATTGTTTGAATTTACAAGATAACTCATACAAAAATACAATCTGTCAAAAAATAATCCAAGGAAAAATACTAATTTTTGTTGAACTTGGCAACGCATTGTTTAAATTTATAAAATGATCCGTGAAAAAATATACAGGTAGTTATTAATCTGTAAATTAAGTCCAATTTCCTAGGAACTATTAAGCAAGTGTTGAAGTTGTAATCCTTAAGTCTGTTAATTGGCCAATGACGCGAGGAACGAGCAAGTTTAGTGTGGTATCGTAACAGGAAACGGAAGGTGATGCTGGTTTACTCTTACGAACACATGTATATCTATACATTGTGCTTCTTCCTCTTGAACTTATCGTTATCTGTTGGTTCATTTGAAACGTTTCATCGAACGGCAAAGGAGTTTTTAGAACGATAAGAATATTCTGATACTGTGAAGGAAAAGGAGTTTCCTTATGATGTCTTTCATGTAAACGTACCTACGGTAGAATCCTGTTATATCGCATTTCTTCAAGTAGCAATAAAGCTAATCATTAGAAATACGTGATATCTGAGACTTTACGTTACATAAATCAACTTTTATCTATTAATTTAAAAGAATTACTCATGGAACATTAATAAAGCTAATTCTGATAACCAGAATACGTTATATAAATTAATTTAACAACCTGTATTTATTACTTTAACAAAACTATTAATTGAATACTAAATTTAATGTGATTTGCTTTCTGATTGCAGGTGAGTTTTGTGGTATTCTCGAGAGACGCTGCTGCGGAACTATAAATCTGTGGAAGCCATTGCAAGGTTTGCCAGAATTACGCATTCAGGGTAAAGTATAGGCTTTTATAATATATTTACATACTGCGTTTACTAAAAATAACAAACGTATGAAAAGTATGTATTTATAAAATAAAAAGAATTAGTCAAAATGGAGGAAATCCATAATGAAATTTAAAAAGTGAAACGTATGAAAATTACGTACTTCTATAAAAGAAGTTATTCGAAATAGAATAAATTATCGTTATAAAATTTAACAATAGAATATTAATGTATCATGTCTGAAATGAAAGTTACTTAAATTAGGACGAATCACTTGTCAAAATTTAAGAATGAAACGTAAAATGAATGCAGTAAGAATTATTTAAAATAGGACGAATTACTATCATCACTGAAAATTCCGAAATAAAACGTAGAATACAGCATTTCTAAATTAAGAGTTATGTAAATTAGGACGAATTATCATTATTAATGAAAAGGTAAAAAATGCATTTATTTCTCCATAAACTAAATTTTGTATCTTTTCTCTGTATGTTTACATTAATGAAGTAAATGATTAATTAAAATACAACCTGCCAAAACATAATCCAAGGAAAAATACTAATTTTTGTTGAACTTTTAACATATCGTTTGAATTTATCAAATAAATGAAAAATTATCCACTTTATCTGTTAAGAGAAATTCATGAAAATTTTATAAGAAATAGAAACAATTTTTATATCATTTTTTACATGTATTTAAAGTATTTTGCAAGTATCTTCGTTTCAAAGTTAAAGACACATTTAACTATGAGAAACGAAAACTTGACCACACGTAATCATGAAATAATAATCTTTAAATTACATAAATCTGTCAGATCAGTCAGTTAACTTCACTTACATAATCTGTCTCCAACAATGCGTATAATTTTCCTTTAAAATCTTTTCCATCGTTAAGAACTGTTGAGAACAAAGAAGCTGAAATTCAATGAAATGCTCCATGTCGACAATGTTAATCGCAGTGGCATATCCTCCAGGATGGCCAACTACTCTTTGCATCGTTGTACAATGACCCATTGTGTTCCGTTTCATCGACCAGGCCAAACAGAGTTTCGCGAAACCGTTTATTTTTTCAGCGAAAAAAAGCAATAGTCTCTGCGCGTGCATGCGGACGTTTTGTTACGTCAGAGGTACAGTCGATAGCAGATCTGGCATCCTTAGAAAAAATATGGATACTATCGAAGAAAGGGAACTATCACTCCTTCATTTTTCAGGACTAGGGATGCTGGGAATTTGGGGATAAGTTGAGTATCTGAGGAATTCGGAGTTTGGGTACCTGGGAGTTTGGAGACTTGGGAGTTTGGAGACTTGGGAGTTTGGAGACTTGGAAGTTTAGAGACTTGGGAGTTTGGGTACTCTGGAATTTGGGGACTTGGGAGTTTAGACACTTAGGAGTTTGGGAACTTGGGAGTTTAGAGACTTTGGAATTTAGGAACTTTGGAATTTAGGAAATGTGAAATTTGGGGACTATGGAATTTGGTGACTTTGGAATTTGGGGAATATGAAATTAGGAGACTTTAGAATTTGGAGAATTGGGAGTTTGGGGACTTGGGAGTTTAGGGACTTGGAAGTTTGGGGACTCTGGAATTTGGGAACTCTGAAATTTGGGGACCTTGAAATTTGGGCATTTCAAAATTTTGGTATTCTGGAATTTTTTGTACTTGTAGTTTGGGATTTTTGAAATTTGGAAACCCACGGATATTTGGAATTTAGGAACTTTGGAATTTAGGAAATGTGAAATTTGGGGACTATGGAATTTGGTGACTTTGGAATTTGGGGAATATGAAATTAGGAGACTTTAGAATTTGGAGAATTGGGAGTTTGGGGACTTGGGAGTTTAGGGACTTGGGAGTTTAGGGACTTGGGAGTTTAAGGACTTGGGAGTTTAAGAGTTGGGAGTTTAGACACTTAGGAGTTTGGGAACTTGGGAGTTTGGGGACTCTGGAATTTGGGGACTTTGGAATTTGGGAAATGTGAAATTTGGGGACTGTGGAATTTGGGGACTTTGGAATTTGGGGAATATGAAGTTAGGAGACTTTAGAATTTGGGGAATTGGGAGTTTGGGGACTTGGGAGTTTAGGGACTTGGAAGTTTGGGGACTCTGGAATTTGGGAACTCTGAAATTTGGGGACCTTGAAATTTGGGCATTTCAAAATTTTGGTATTCTGGAATTTTTTGTACTTGTAGTTTGGGATTTTTGAAATTTGGAAACCCACGGATATGGACATCTATAAATTTTGTGATCTAGGAATTTGAAGATTTTGGGACTTAGGAATAGAGGAATATAAAAATCTAAACACTTGAGAATATAGGAAATCGAACACCTACGGATTTGAGGACTTACGAATTTGGAAACTTCAGGATTTTTGTGATTTTGAAATTTAAGGGTAGGTTAAGAATGTGAAGCCTTTGGAATTTCAGGATCTGAGAAGATGAGTATCTAGAAATTTAAGTGTTTTGAAGTTTAAGAATGGAACTGTATGAGAATTTAGGTATTTAGGGATATAGGAATTCAAGAATCTAGAAACTTGACATTTAGAAAATACAGTAATTTCATTATTTTTAAATTTGCAAATTTAAAAAATTTGTAAATGACGCGTAATAATTACAATTTATTATTATATATTGTTACATTGTTAATTATTGCATAGCAATTTATAAATTTTTAAATTTCAATATTTTAAAATGTTCAAATTTAAAAATTGTAAAATTCGAAAGCTTGAGAATTTTATTTTATTTTTTAAAAATGTTCCAGTTTAAATATACGTATTTATCTGAAAAGGAAGCCAGCGCTGCATCTGATTGTACGTATCATATCGCGTTTTTTGTTTTGGATAATGTGTCGCAAGGTTGATTCATGTTATAACAAAGGCAACGTATCAAGAAAATCTCTTGAATTATAATAATATAATATAATATAGTTTGCAGACTTTCATAGATTTCAAAAACCTTTTAGTTTGCAACTTTGCGAATTGCAGTTTTTAAATTTGGAATTTGGAAATTTGTGAATTGTTAAACATTTAAAATTTGGAAATTTCAATTGTTAGAAATTTGTTAGTATAGAAATTTATTCTATTAAAAATTTGGTATCTGGAGCAGTGAGCTATGAGAAATTTGCGATTTTGAAATTTGGTTTACTACAAGTTTGCAATTTGCAAATTTGCATTATCAGAAAATTGAAATTTGAAAATTTTAACTACTGAAAATGTATTAATCTGAAAATTGATTTTATTATAAATTTGGTGTCTAGAAATTTAGACAACGAGAAATTTGGAATTTACAAATTTGCATTATTAAAAATTTTGAATCTAAAAATTTGTATTATTAAAAATTGTAATTTTGGAAGTTTCTTTATTAAAAATTTGTTAATCAACAAATTTGTATTATTCAAAATGTAGAATCGAAAAATTTGGGCAACGAAAAATTTTAAATTCTTAAAATCCACGTATTTAATTCCGCAAAGTTAAAGTCAAGTAGTGAGATATTCTCCGTCCTACATTTATTCTTATTCAAAGAAAGGCTACGTTTGCCCGGGTGTACATAGCGTACTAGCAATTATTCGATGCGCGTTGTAGGCTCCCCTCCTTTTTTCGCCGTGAGCATTTCTTACTCTCTTTAATCACTGTAGGGCGGGTCAGTGCACCTGGCCAAGATTTTACGACCTTGCTTGACATGCCGTTTAATCGTCGTTACTTTACGTACCTCTCGAACCTCACAAGCGGAAAGATCGATTAATCTCGCGACTAATACCGATAGACCTTTGTTCTTCGATAGAAATCATTATTCTCGATATCTATTTTGGCTCTTTGAATCTTGAGACTTCGAGAACTTTAGATATTCGTGATTCTGCAGATTTAATCATTCTACGAATTAAAAAATTGCAAATCTGAATATTTGCATATTTGCAAATTCAGAAATTGTTTAATTTAGAATTTTGAGATTTTTTAAATTTGCAGATTTTGGGAATTTTGTAAATTTGGGAATCTAGAAAATTAATTAAATTTCCAAATATTTAAACTTCTGATTTAGTGAAGTCCTAAATTTTGGTATTTATAAATTTCTAATTTCCCAAACTCAATCTGGAAATTTGAAAACTTCTGAGTTATCAAATTTTGTAATATCTAAATCCAAATATGAAAGTTTGAAATTTCCAGAAATCTTTCTCGCACATAAATAGCAATTATCTGTCATTGTCTACACTCGATTACAAAATCGCATTCTACAGTATAGCTCTTTTAAGACAGACTGTACCACACGATATTCTAAAAATATTCAGTAGCTCGTATCGGAAAAGCTTGAACTATACATGTGTACCACAGATAAAACGATGGTTGAAAGAATACTGGAATTTTCGTTTAATCGAAGCGTGTAATGACGGCAGGTAAGAAGTTCGAATCAATCTATCGAGTCTCGATTGTACAAGAGCTTAAAGCATGACCTTCCGTGAGTGTGGCTATTGGAATTACGGAAATGTAGCGGGCACTCGTTTGTAGATACGATGCGATGACAGGAAAGAAAAGGCAAGCATGAACGTCAAGAAGAGCAACGGGTCAGTTCTCACCAGCGTGAGATCGGATCGATATGTCATGCGACTTTCTGCGTATCATGAGCAAATTTATCTACCAGGAATAGAACTAATAGAATTGAATAACTTATCATGCAATGTTCATCGCGAAAGTGTCACTCGAAGAATTATCGAAGAAGATAGGAGATTGAATATTTACAATAGTTGTTAATTGATTGATTCATCGTATTAAGAATATTGACGGAACATTTATGTGAACATTTTCAAGGAATTTCATATTCATGATCGTCACGCGTTATATGGCTATACTTACGTTTGTATCGTTATGAGATTGTGTTACCGTGTGTTGTATGAAAATGCATTGGATTGCCACGCGTTGCATTATCGTACGTTATATTGCTACGTATTTGTACAATAATATAACGCGTTATATCGCAATGTGCAGTATCACGTATTATACTATCGCGCATTTGAATTTTTACGAGTTA